CCCCCCCCCCCGCTCCATAGCCTTGTAGAGAGTAGCCAAGCCCCCTGGGGCTCTGTGGCGCACCTCGGCCCAGCTGTGCCCGGCTGGCCGCCACTGACCTTGACGTTCTCACGCTGGCACCCATCGGCAGACTGTGGGCTCGAGTCATCGCTGGTCATCTCGCAGCTGATGGAAGACGCCGAGTTGCAGAACCCCGAAGCTCGCATCTTCCTGGATCGGTCGAGCAGCCGCGAAAGTACACACCCCCACACGCCCCTTCGCGCTGGCAGTAGCCAGGAGCTGGACACGGTGCCACAGGACCATGATCTGAGCCCCCGCCAGGACATCGGGGAGCCTCTGCGCTCCGGCTCGCAAGCCCATCCCGACGGGGGGCCGGACAATGATGAGCCGCACCTGTGCGCCACTGTAGATGCGCTGGCCATCAGCTCGTCGACACTTTTTTGATGGGGGCAGGCGGGGCCTGCGCCCGGCACTGTGGCGCCGGCGCGCGCAGGAGCCAGGGTGTGCTCCCCGGCCTTCAAATAGAGAATGCACACTCTCATGCATGCGTGGGAGAAATGCACCCGGCGTTGCTTTGGCGCTCTCGCGGGACCTGGACACTCGACACGTCTCCATGAGAGGAGGACCCGCGCCACATGGAGGAGTCGGGTTCAGGCGGCGAAGGGGCGGGGCCACCCCATTCTGTGTCACACTAGGGAACATGCCTCGGGTCTCATATCCATTTTTATGCCGATCGGCCCAGGGGGTGTGTGGCTTGAAGAGAGACGGAGGCGCGGGCGGGGGGGCAGCTTTTCACATGGGGCACCTGCAGGCGAATGGTCACTCACATTATTGTCTTGGGTAGGGGGGGAGGGGGGGGGGGGATGTGCATGTGGTGCAGGAAGCAGGGGACCGCGGCTGGTGCCAAAAGTGATGCCCGGACATTGTGGCGCCGGACGTGTTTGCGAGCTCGCCCGATCGCGCATCCCTATCTCGGGGCCTGGACCGACGGGCTTTCTCCTCTGGCGGGGGGAGCCGATACTGCCGCGGTCTGGGTTGATAAGGATAGCCCCGATGGCGCTGGCAACTGACAGACTGGCGGGCAGAGCCCGGCCGTGTGCAGAGCTCCGGCCATTCCTCGAGGCGCAAAGGCCCAACCCTGACGGAGCTCCTCGTCCTGGCGCGCCTCCCTCCCCCGATTCAGCGGCCCTCCGAAGGTGCGCCGGTTCTGCGCCGCCGCAAGAGGGCACCTCGGCCCCCCTCGGGGTGTGAGGACCCCGTCGGCCGGAGCGCGCGACCGCGTGTGGCCACCAAAAGGTTAACATCAGTGCGCGAGCTCGGTCTCCCCGCCGCCGCCGCCGCCGCCGCCACCACCACCACACTACCAGCGGCAGTGTCAGCGGCGGCGGCGGCGGCGGCGGCAGCAGCAGCAACCGTCGCACTTCGAGACGACCGGAAGAGATGCCCGTGCCCTGGAAACCCCCTGCACTTGGCGCCGCCACAACTCGATCATCATTGTGGGCCCTGCGCCGGGATCAGGCACCCCAGCCTCGCACCCCACAATCCAAGCCACACCTGGTGAGGGCATGATGACGGCCGGGCCCGCGCGGTCCAAACGCCGGGGGGAGGGGATACCGACTTTCATATGGGCAAAGCCCCTGCGCCAGTCCCCACTATCCAAGGGTACTTGTCCGGGCCCCCGGGCCCGGGGCACCGCGCCCCTGGGCACCCGGGGGGGGGGGGGGGGGGGCTGACATCAAACAGGGCGCCCAGCACTTCTCTGCTCCTTTGGGCCATTTTCGCCGGGCGCCGCGCCGGCCTGGGCCGGGCCGAGCAGAGCGGCCCGCTGTGTAAACAAGGCCCGGGAGAGGCAGGCGGAGGGCCGATGAAGAGACCAGCCGACAAGCATGCATCGGTCCGCCGGGCCGTGGGCGCCCCGCCGGCGTTGCTCCGCGAGGCAGGACGAGCGAGCATTCCAGCGGCCGGCGTCCGACGGGGCACCCCGACCGGGCGTTGGTGCGCTCGCTGGCCCGCGCTGCCCACGCTGAAGGCCAGGCCGAGAGGGGGGAGAAAAAAGAGGGGGGCAAAGGGCGCGTGCCCCACTCGGCCCCAGGACCAACCCCCTCGCTCGGGGCCTGGGACGGCGTGCCCGCGCCCCGGACGCCCTGTTATAGCACACCCTCCCCGGGGGGGGGGGGGGGGGAGGAGGAGCCCGCCAACAGCACAAGGGCCCTGGGGCGGGGGCGGGGGCGGGCAAGGCGACGGGAACGATCGCGCCTGGAGGTAAGGCTCGCGCGAGCTGAGGGCCAGCCGAAAGGAAGGGCCACCAAGGGCCGGAGAACCGGCTGGGGAAAACCACCACCATGATAGGCCGAGATGAAAATATCTGCGGGCGCCGCGGTTCATTGGCATGTAGCCCAGCGGCGGGCGGGGGCCGGACGGGCACACGCACACACACACACACACACACAGGCGCGCACAGGCGCGCACAGGCGCGCACATGCACACATTAATCGATGCACGCTCTCCCGCTCCCGGCACCATGAAGACGGCGCGCGCCGCCGGGGAAATGGCCAAGCCCGGAGGGGGGCCCCGTGCAGGCACGCAGTCAGGAACCACCCCACCCCAGACCAACTCTTGTCATGAGGCCGGCCGATCGGGGTGCCTCACGATCGGTCTCGACCCCCTGCCCCCGCTAGGCGATAATAAACATTTTTCATTGTTTTTTTTTTTTTTTCCCCCTTTTCCCATCCAAGTCGTTGTCCGGAACGCCAGCCATACCCGCTCCTGGTGACGAATGCGCTCCTGAGCGCCCGCATGCTCGCGCATGGGTGCCGACACGTTCTCCCTCCGCGGACCCTGGTCCACCTTCGTCTGCCATCGCACTCCGGGGTGACGCCGGGCTTCCGGACTCCGAGGGCCGGGCCGGGGGGACACGAGCCTCTAGTCGGATTGGCCTCCGGCGGTGGCCCCGGCCACGCCTGCCTGCTGCCTGGTTCCATGCCCGGCCGGCGGCATATGAAACGCCCCCTGCGTCCCGGCGAAGGGCGAGACGGGGGGGGGGCGCGCGGAACGTCCGGGCCCCGGGGGCCTGCCCAGGATCAGGAAGAAGGCGCCCCTTGCGCCCCGCCGTGCGGGATCCGGGCAAGAGCAGGGCCAGAAGGAGATCAGCTCCCCCCCCGCCCCCTGCCCGGGCCTTTGGAGCCCGGCCCGCACCGATCGCTTGCGCCCCAGCCTAGGGTGGTGCCGCGCACAGGAGAGCCTCTGCCCCCGGGGGCGGGGGGAGTTGCCCGGGTGCCGGCCCCCGGGCGAGCGAGGGACCGTCTTCCTGGAAGCCGACCATATGAACTCCGCGATCGGTATTCCTCCGCCTCTCGCGGCGGGCGGGCGATTTCCGGTTGTCTCTTCGCCCTCCCGGCCCCTCCCCCCCCAACGCCCCCTTGCCCGGATTCGGCTCTCCCTCGGCCCCTCGCGCCCTCTCGCCCCCTCATCCTCGGTCGGCCCCTGGCTGGGGTGTGTATGCCCGAGGGCTCGGGTCGGCGCACGCACGAGATTGTCCAGCGCGATGGAGCAGCCATCCTCGCGCCACCGCCACCGTGGACGGGGGCCGCGATTCCACCCTCGCCTCACTAGTCGCAGGGATTCGGGCTGACCGGACCCGGGCACACATTGAAAGCCTACCGCCCCCCGGCGTCCCGGGGTGGCCCCATGCCGGCCCAAGGACATCGCCTCCCACGCGACACGCCACCGCCACCGCCACCTCTGTACCCCCCCCGCCCGCCCGCCCCCCCGTCCCACACACCCCTCCACCACCCTATTCGCGCCCGTCGTCGTCCTTGCCCGCCATGTCTGCCAGCGGACACCTCTCCTACGAGGACCTGCTTGCGTTGGAGTTCGCGCAGGTTTGCACCCTGGCCGGGCTGGCCCCGGCGTCTAGCCCGCGGTCCAGTGTTTCCCCCTCGCCGGAGCCCCCCGGGGGGGGCCTCACCGGCCGCCGGCAACCGGAGCCCTCCCACCCGACGTCCTCCGCCGACTCGGCGTCCTCCGACTCGCTGACCGACCTGCCGCATGCGAGGGGGGACGCCGGGGCCGGGCGGCGGCGCTCGGCCGACGCCAGTGACCAGCGGCCCTCGCTGTCGCGGAAGCGCGCACGTACCCCGCCCCCGGCGGTCGTCGGCCTGGGGCTTGATCCGGCCGTCCGGTATCTGGCCACGGCGTCGGTGTTCTTCCTCGCGCGCCTGTGCACGTCCCCCCTGCGGCATCTGTCCCCGCCGCCGAGCCCCACCTCGGCCTCGTCTCTCGGCGCCCGGCGATCCCCCTCCCCGACGCCTGCCGGGCCCGGCGGCGGCCCTGGCCACCAAGTCGACCCCCGGAGCCTGGTGGCCGATCGCATGGTCCGGGTGCTGACGGCCCTCGAAGCGGGCCGGGCCCAATCCATGTTCGCCACCTTCGCCGGCCAAACGGACCCGCTGCTGGTGACCATTTCCCTGACCGAGTCCCGGGAAGATCTGCGCATCGAGGTGACCGGCACCGGCCCCGACCGGCCGGCCGCCCTGGCTCCCCTGCTGGTCACCCAGGCGGACTTTTGGCAGGTCGCCTCAGCTGCCAATTCCGGTGGTATCCGCCTGCGCGCGCTGGAGCTCTTTTTCCAAGACCACTTCGGCGACCTGCGCCCCGGGGCCGCTGGGCAATGTAACAGCACCAACACCTCCCCCTCCGCAAGTCAACACCCCCACCAGTCGCCCCCGACCATGTCCCCCCCTCCCTCGAACCACCATCGCCCGAAGCAGCAGCAAACCCAGCCGGCCGACCAGCCTGCTGCCTCCACTGCCGCCGGCCAGCACCCGGAGCCGCGCGACCTGCAGCCCCCCACCCGGGCGGCCGCCGGCCCCAGCGCCCCCTCCGCCCCCCTGAACCCTCTGCGCGTGGAGTACGCACCTGTTCCTTTCTTTGCCGATGCTTCCTCTTCTCCCCCCCCCCTCTCCCTGTTGCCCCGCTCACCGCGCGCGTGTTCCTCCACCTCCTCCTCCTCCTCCACCTCCGCCCCCGGCGGAGCAAAGTCGCAAGCGGCCGCCACCC